AAACGGACCTGAACAAATTGAGTTACCTAAGCACATTAATTACACAATTCACTTATTCAGTTTCTCTGGCTCTATTTTTTCTTTAAGTAAAAATTTGGAAAGCGAGAATGCGGTTCAACTAAAGTTGTTACTTCTCAACAGCATCCATAACACCAGTGGGGTTGCAGATGCGTTGCCTACGTCTAAAACGGTCCCAGTTACCTCATTCACCGGCCTGGTCTTTCAACCGACTTCAAAAAAGGACGAGGTTCTCAATTCGACTGTATTTTTTTTCTCTTTCTCTTTTTTTAAAAACATTGCCCTTACTTTAGGATAACATTATCCTGTATTGTAGGGACGTTTTACAAACATAAATTTCACGCGGACAAACACCCAGATGCGAAACAACTATCTGTGGGATTTGAAAAACCTCGCTCGTGTTTGTGCACCGTTTAAACCTCGCTCGTGTTTGTGAGAATGAGTTTTTAAAATGAAAATTATTTATGTAAATAAATAAACCTTGGCGTACGTTATATTTAACACAAAATAGAATTAAATCTGCCTTTTGCTTGCTAACGTTTGTCTAATTCACACTGCATAGCAATAGCCCGATGCCGTTTTCTGAAACCAGTATATTTACAGTTGGACGTATTTGTGATGGTTATTTTCCCATCTGCCGGAAGCTATGAAGTTAATCATAGACAATATAAGAAGAGATGGACGGAGAAGAGTGCGTTCTAAACGCCTTTGGCTTGGTTCTCTAAAGGACTAACATGCATTTGAATCCCATTAAAACATGTCTACGTATTTATGAGTAACCAGTTATAGGGAAAGTGAAGGTTATTACTATTTATTTATTTATTACTATTAAGTGCAATGTTTTTATTGATGTTAGACGCTCAAGTGATTGATCCGTAATAAACATAGAACTAGATAAGGAAAGCTTATGACTTGAAATTGAAAAATATTTTGAACGGCTACAATTGGGCGTTTTAAAAATTTGGGAAATGGAAAAGATATAGACATATAAAAATACATTGGTTATATTGATAACACGTCATTATGCAATGACAATTACGTCATTCATTATTGTGGAGTGTTCGCGTAAATACAATAAAGTTTATTATATATGTTTTTATTTGTCGCAGACTATCTGATAGTCGTTAATGTCTTAACATAATATTATAATGTACGTATATTTGACACGCACGATAATATTAGCCTTTAATACACTGTAATGTTCTTTAGCTATATCGTTTATCGCACACCTGTGAATTGTATAAGCGATTTTATCCCTTAATTATCTGTATTAAATGCTAAAACCGTGTTTTGGGGCTTTGTCGTTGATGCGCTTTTGTGTCATAATCTTATACCGGGATGATCTTGTCACGCGTCGCCCGGGGGTGAATGCACTCTGCAAATAAAGTCGCCGAGTTAAATAAATCTACGTATTTGCATTTCCGAATGCCAACGTTTCTTTGTAATTTGAACCTCATACTGTAAAAAAAATATTTTACAGCAGCTTTTGGTATCTGGTATTTCAGTTTTTTTTAAACCGTTATTGGTAAATATTTAAGTGAATATTATTGACATGTAATGTAGTAATTACTGTCATATTTTGATTCCCATAGAACAAATACTTTACGAATTACGTTTAACTCTTTGAGGTTAAAATACTTTTTGCTTAGTCTACTAAGTGATTTGTACTTATGAATTGTTTCATTGAAAGGATACTGCAACTCTAAACTAATACTTGCTAATGGTTATACTGAAAAAAACTAATTAACATAATTATTTAAAATAGCTACGATATGCAAACTACGATCAGCCGCGGTTTCCTGAAGCTCTTAAAAAAACTGAAAATAATTAATATACTTATCAGAACATTTTTATTTATGCACAGCTGTTTTATTTAGCTGTTTTAATTAGCTTTATACATTTAGAAGATTAATTAAATTAATAAAAAGATCAATTAAACAATCGTCAATTATGTATCCCGTAAATTTTCAGACGGTGATTTTTTTAACTTTATTCATTTTCAAAAGGCAACTCTGTTTCCATCAACAAATACCTCTTACTGTAGGGCCACGCAGCAGCCTCGGCTTTTGCACGAATGGGCCGGCTCGTCCGGGTAAGTACCACGACCTCACAGAAGACCGGCGTGAAGTGGAAGTATAATACTTCCGCGTTTCGTCTGGTTAGTGAGGCAGCCTGAGCCCAATTTTCAATAAGGTTGTCAACGCATCTGCAAACCCTCGGGTGTAGCAGGTGTCCATGAAGTGAACCGCTTGCTCGCTTAACAACTCTTCACATAAAAAAACCTCGTAACACGGTACCGGCCCTCAACTCTGGTGCTCCTCAGCGGCCGTCATACGAAACCGTGCGTGGTACAGTTAGCGGTTAAGACACCAGCACCTTTACCAGATAGGACATGACATGACAGTTGTTATGACGTTTCGCTAAATTACACAGCAGTTGCGTCGCACAAGCGTGTAATCGCGCACGAGATGTGGGGGGAATGACCTGGCCAGAGGCTCTACCGGTGGCAGCAAGCGACATGTGTCACATCCATTCAGACGTCGGGGGACCTATTTGCGTGTCACTCGACATAGACGCGAACGGAGATTTATTTTCTGCGCACCGATTGTGCAATGTCGCGCGATTTCTTATTATTCAACATATATACTTGCTATGACAACCCGATTGCGTGGATAATGAGACTATCTCTTGCGTCAGAAGATGTGGGTTCGGTCGCACTACTGGAATAATATTGTGCCATGAACATAGTGTTTTCTTGAGTCTTGGTGTTTATTATATGTATTTGCAAAAAAGTACGTTTAAGTATGTTTATCAGTTACGTAGTACCCATGGTACAAAGCTTTTCTTAGTTTAGGACTATATGACGTTGTATAAAAATATAGGACATATTTTTATGCATAGGCATGAAGTATTATTCAACAGTATATCGTCCTGGTAGGGCCACACACCTGTTTCTGTTTTGCACGAATGGGGAGGTTCATCTGGGGAAGTACCATGTTTTCACTAAAGACCGGCGAGAAGTTGAAGTGTTATACATATTGGAATTGACCGGGGCCCACCTTTTTTAATGTTTGGTAACGCATGTGCAATCGGTCGGGCATCATAGATGACATCACTTAACATCAGGTGGTTGTCTATCTTTAGTTCTGACTCTCTTTCGAAAAGTTTTCACATGAAAAAAATGGAAAATTATCACATTAAAAAAAGGAGTATATGCTTCCACTGTCACTGGTATCATACGAGATAGACACGCACTGAGTAGCCCGTGATAAAAAACATATGATCGCGTGTAACCGTGATGCGTATCGGTCGTGTATCGAAACGGGTATGCGGGATTTGGCCGGTTGCTTCTAACGGCAGTCGATTGGGCTTTAGCTTCGAAGTTTCGAATTTGAAAATTCGAATTAAGAACAAACGTTGAGTTCTTCGAGCAATTATTTCGTTTTTAGGGTTCCGTATCGTGGAGGATAATCACTGCTCGGCTCGTAACAACTAAACTATTTTAAAGGAATTTTATCCCGTATTGCCACATAGCCCACAACACGGTGTATTAGAAGTTGTAAAAAAACTATTTAAACCGCTGTACCATCAGTGCGGTCAAAATATGAGATTAATATGTAAGAAATCGAAAGCCGTACGTTTTACCACTGAATTGTTTTAATGACCTCTAGATAACGACGTCAAGTTCACAGTAATCGAACATGAACAAGATTAACTGTGAAACAAGAGAGATGTTTTGAGATGAATTGCTCAATTTGCAAGAACTTCCAGTGGTTTCCAATCAAAAGATTTCTCGCAAACTCTTTACTCGTTAGGAGAAGTTCATTACTTCCGCGCCTACGAGAAACGATATCGGAGATGGATCATCTGAAACAATGGTAAGAGCGCCGTTAGCTCTCACAATTTCTTCGCCTTTCGAGATTATCTAAATTCAATCGAGTGAAATAATAATTTTGAACCACTTTATTTTTTAAATACCAAAGTCACGAGTTGTTTTATGAAATGTTTCATTTTATGATTTAATCAGCTACATATATAATTTTTTCATACAGATGGTTTTACATGGAAGTTTGTTAATATCTCACAATCATAAGTTGTTTTCGTAATTGTACCCAGCATTAGGAAACTTAAGCGGTAGAAGAAAAACGAGAAAATTTAAACCCCTTTTATCTACAATGTTGTATTTCCATATGTGTTATTAGCCATCCCGCCATAGTGATCCGGTGGATGGGTATGTCAATCGCGGATTCGAGCGCGGGTTGAATGCCACGTGCAGTAAACTGATTGACGTCGGTTTAACATGAACGACGCGTGTTTCGCGACAAGGTCGACACCTGTCACGCTTTAACTTTTAGTAATCTCGGTAACAGTGTACAAACAGCGCTATCGATCACTGTTCTTTACATTATATTGAATGTTGTACTATTTGTAGAAGACCTCAGGAAATGGAACAATTCAGACATGTTGCAGCCCTGTTGCCAATCCCTGAGAGTGTAAACTCCGGTCACCACTTACCGGGCGAAGCGCAGAGTAATTACTTTTACTTCACGCCGGACTCGCTACATAGGCTGTTATATAAGCTGATATTGTTCTACTAGAGTAAACTCGTTATACAAAACATTAGTTTTCCCGTCGTTGGTAACCACAGGTTTGCATTGACAGACTTGAGGCATATTGATTTCTTGATTTCACGCGAATATTATACATATTATTGCTACTTTACGGATTTTATCGACTCGAGGCAGTGATACCAACTGTTCACAAAGATACTCCTACCTAAAGCAATTGAAAAGCCCACTAAAATTCACTAAACACAAACCAAAAATTGCCATTTAGGAAGTTTTGGTTTGAATTTACCTCCTAAAAACCTTTCATTGTAAATTCTACCTAAGTTTTTCTTCTTCCTAAGTTTTAGAATAAAACTTCTAAGTTGGCATTCGATCCGTGACTTGAGGTGCGTACGTCATGACAAGAGCCACTTACTCAATTCGTTTGTCCGTTGTTTCAGATGACAGTAGCAGGGAGGAGGTCGCGTCGGAGCAGCAGGTGAGTGCGTTGCTCTTCACATAATGTTCACTAGTCGCATAAAACGTCGAATCAGTCCTTCGGCTCGCGTGCGGTCGCAAAAACCACACGCCGGCGGCGGCGCTTTGATGTGCGGGGAAAAAAGCTCTCTCCGTACGATCCGCCGCGGCAAAAAGCTAATCAAATATTTGCTAGCAATGCGATCGACGATTACTAGTGTCGCCCGCACGTCTTTTAATTGGCAATAAATTATTTGGCGTATTAATTTTAAATTAGTATTTGTTACATGGCTGCTTGACTTTACGATGTGTTATTTTAGCGTCACAGTTAATATTATACGGTTGTTTCGTCCTTTAAATTTTAAATAGCTCTTCATATATAGTTTACTTTTAATTACTTTAAATTATGACTCAATGTTCATATTAATATTAAGTTGTATCAAAACAATAACGACAAACATGAAAAGAGGGCTTTTTCTGAATAATTTAGACAGGCATAGGACTTAATACACTCATTTAATATAAACAAAATCACGGATCTGTTACATAAACACATAAAATCCAACGTAATTGATTCGACGTTAACGGTAATAATTTGTAACGTATAACGGCAAATGGCGGCTGTGTTGCCGGTAATGGTAATATACGTCCATGGGCTCGCTGTCCCAGTGTCCAGTGAAATACGGCCGGGAAAATTGTATCACCGGGCGCTTCTATTACCTCTGATTTATTATCCGGCGACCTCCGACACGACGCGTAGCCCATCCACCGCTCGGAGGTTGTCGACGTTTGCTCAGCAATTATATTGGAGTACCTGGTACAGATTAGATACGGGTCGCGGTCTTATCTCATGGCATGGCGTTGTGGGTATAGGCGTAGAGCGGTTCGCCAGTGTTGCGGACGTGACCTCCGGCTGCCTACGTACATTTTAATCTCCATGATGTTCTGTTAGAACCCTAATTAAGGCAGAGTATTAAGTGCAATTAGTCGAGAACACTCTAGCTCGTAAAATGCTGGTCGCCCCTAAGATGTATTGCATCGATTAAAATCTCTTAATTATAATTAATGTATGCAAAGAAATTTGATAACGTTTAAAGTATGTTATGCATTATAATTAGTAATATTTTCAATATATTGTGGTTTATATTGCTATTAAGATAAGTATGATTAAAAAAACACTCTTACGGATTTCAATTTAATTATAAGAATTTGAATTTAGCGTCAACCGCGTTTGACGCACATTTGTTGAATCTATGGGCGTATAGATCGAAAACTAATCAAAACCGAAATAGGATAGGAAATGCATACAGTTCGTGTATGGGGAACTATTTAAGCGAGCTTGTTTAGGGAACCTGTCTTTAAACCCGTGTACGTGAATCGGCCACGCGTTAATTCGTTAGCTGGCGAACAATATGGCCGGCGCATCCGCATCACTGATGTCGAGTTTACGAGTACTCGTCTCGGAGGCGGAAAATCGGCCGTAAACAAATTTTATGACCGCCGGCAGCCGATCTCCATGCGTCCAGCAACCGTAGACGTTGCTACGCTGGTTTATCGTTGATTTTGCCGTTTGTTATAATTATGCATTGCGTTTCATTGCTATTGCATTCACTTGTATAAACTTGTGTACACTAAATAGTGACAAAAACATAAAGATACTATGCTTTTTGTTGCCGTTTAAAAGTTTAATAAAATTATTTGAGACTTTTATAAAAGTTATTAAAATCTTTGAAAGAGCTTCCTCTTTCTAGAATCACAATTTAGAACGAGAATTCGTTTTTCAGGACTGTCAAGACAAAACGTTGGCGATAAATACGTCAATAGAAAAATATAAATCACATCATATTATAAAAAATAATAAAGCCTTCACGCTAAACAATGATTACGATAATTCGCTTAATATGTCACAAAATGATTTTTAATAAATTGTTCTCGTGGGACAGCTAGATGCTTTATAAGTTCTAGCTGCTGCCCGCGACTACGTCTGCGCAAAATAGGCTGAAGGCGTAACATTCAAACTGAAAGACAGAAACTGACATACATAAAATATATATAGAAATTATAGCCTATGTCTTATTCTGATGTATAAGGTAAATAAAGTGTAAAGTTTCATTAAAATCCATTCAGTAGTATGCGTGAAAGAGTAACAAATATCCATCCATACATAACGGTTTTAACGGTGGTAGGGCCACGCAGCAGCCTCGGCTGTTGCACGAATGGGCAGGCCCGTCCGGGTAAGTACCACGACCTCACAGAAGACCGGCGTAAAGTGGAAGTATGAAAAATACTTTCGTGTTTCGTCTGGTAAGTGGGGTAGCCGGAGCCTAATTTTTAAAAGGTTGTCAACGCATCTGTAACCCTCGGGTGTAGCAGATGTCCATGGGCGGCGGTATTCACTTACCATCAGGTGAACCGTCTGCTCGTTTGGCAACTTTTCACATAAAAAAAACATAAAAACTTTCGCATTTATAACATTAGTAAGGGTAATTCGACCATAGAAAAAAAAAATGCAAGGATTGATATTATTACCTACTAAATATGAGAAGATTCATTGTTAACATTGATATAAAACGGCATAATTTGATAATGAAATGAGTTTTACATAGATTTTTGCTTATAAAAACGAACGCTCAAGTATAATGTAATTTAACAAAAATTGTATTATGAAGTACATAATTATGCAATATGACGAGAAAAATATTCTTAACTTTATTTTGAACTATGTACATGTATTCGGAAAAGCAATGAATCATCATCATCATTTCATCCTGATTAAGTCCACTGCTGGACTATATGCCCCCCCCCCCCCCCCCTCATAGACCAACCCCTAACATTCGTTAGGGTCGTCGCACTCGACAAATTTTCTTCCCCATCGGTTATTGGTTCTTCGGATAAATGGCCGGCCCATTGCCACTTCAGATTACTACTCCTCCAAGCTATGTCGGTTACCTTTGTTCTACTGCGGATGTATTATTGCGAACCTTATCACGTAGAGAAATAGAGCGTAGCTCGCTTCATAGCTCCCTTCATAGCTCGCTTTGAACTTCCTCAATGATGATGAAATTCGTCTAATTTTGTTCGATTAAACGTTAATATTCAGATCACGTGCCACGTGGTCCGACATTAAAGCATTAGGTGGGCTGAGATTTGCTTTTACGGCGTTTTTGTGGAGCCATGACAAATTTGGGCAGGACACGTGGGAAGGCTTTTTGGTGCGATAACACTACACAGTGACAACATGGCTACTGATCCAATGCGAATGCAGGCGCTAAACGAAATGTTTGCAGGAAATTGTCTAGGACGAGGAAATCGTTTGTAGAATTTGTTACATCATTGATTTTATGTCAGTTCAGTGACCGGGAGGACGGTTGGTTTTTATTTAATTATACTCTAGAAACCTGAGTTGAAATACAGGGGCCGGCAACAAATAAATTGTTATTTACGTTTTAGTGCTGTTACAGTTTTGCAGTGCTGGAATATTATAACCCCTGCCTATTATAATTATAATATATAACCCCAGAGGGGTATACTAAATACAGGATATGTATACATATCTAGTTTATATTCTAGATATAATATATCCCGAAGTAAAGGAAACTAAGAAAAAATTACAAATATAATTTCTCTGTAGACGATATTCACAGTAGAGAGAGAGGAGACGGTTGACGAAGGTTTTTGGAGTGTAACCAGGCATTGTATATTATTTAAAAGACCGGGCTTTTATTGTTTCATACTTGGCGTTCCAGTACTCGTACAATGTTGCCGGATTTATCTAGGGTGCAATTTAAATGGATAATTAACGCCACGCAATTAATGTGGCAGTTATCGAACCGTTCTCTATTTTATATGGTACCCGTAAAAGGCGGTCATTACGTTCTAAGTTCACAGCGCACTATTAAATCAGTTGTAAGGAAGCCATTTTCGTCCGTCAGTGGCCAATTATATATATAGTGTATAGGTATATAGTGTATATATAGTTATATATAGTGTATACATATAGTATATATATAGTGTATAGGTATGACTAGAATAAATTGATATTAATGGCGAAATGGAAGTTTCTGTATAGATATGATCAAAAAATTTACTACTACGTTTTGCAGGCTTCATTGCGTTTATTTGTCTTTAATATTTCTGGATTTTACTTTACAGAGTGGATATTCACGGAGAAATTTATGTAAGGTAATTAAGTCATGGATTCTGTTTAGATCGAACCCACACTGCGGTCTAGAAACACAGGTTCATTATCCACTGCGCTAATCGGGTCCAAAAATGGCAACCCGTTTGCAACTTCGCGGGTGTGGCAGATGCGCCTGGCTGGAGGCTATCATTTAACAAGTGAATCTCTAACTCGCTTGCCACCATTTCGCAAAAAAAAACACCGCGGACCTCTCCTCTTTATAGTTGACAACTCACCTGCAGGGTGGTGACGATGGCCCCCGTTGGCATCACATGGCGGCAGTATTGGCGGTTTGCTATTACTGCCACCAGTACGGTTAATAGCTTGATCATGTAGCACCTTCTATGAAAATGGAACCCCGCGGGATTTGTTCAATCGAGCGATACAAGCGAGCGTGCCGGGTTCAATCACACCGCACGCTTTGAATGAAACGCAACCCGGCCGAATTGCGGGGCGCGGTTTTCGTCCACTCGCGTGGGCCCGTCGAGTGCTCCGCGATTCGTCGGATTGTTACTCGGGGCAGGAATCCGGGGAGGCGGCTCGGTGACCCGTCCGGCCGCTTTTTGCGTCGCGGTAAACGGCGAAAGTGAATCCATTGCTCGACAGTCTATACTATCGGCGTGACAGCCTACCGACGGTGCTGGCAAGTTGCCCACGAAAATGGCGCTTATGGAAATGTGACTCTTGAAAAATGCGGGAAATCGGTGCAAATACGTCCTCGACTATTTTAATTCTCGTAAAATATAGGCTACAAATGTGTGTGTTCAATTCATCCTAGGTTTCCTCCATTCATACATGTTTCAACCGATATGAAGGATGTTTTATCACTTTTACCATATTGATTGAAATTCTGTTAAAATATCATCGATTTTATTGTGAGGCAAGTCTGTAAGACTATTTAAATAACATAAAATATAGGAGAAAGGATTATATTTTCCATTCCCTCCCTCGGGGTAATTAACCACGCGGTTATTAAATAAATTGCAATACTAAAAGGCCCGCTCATTAAAAGCGACGCGCTGCCAGTGCGCCAGCGCGCGATATACGAGTGGAGGCTTGCGGCTCGCGGCGTCGCATGAATAAATAGATTACGCGCAGATTTCCCGCGCATTCAATAAAGCGCGCATTAAACGAGGCCCAATATGTTTGTTGGCTTAGTTCGCTACCAGCAGAGTTTCACTTCATTAACGCTACGCAGCGGCTGAGTATCACCGTTATAACGTTAGTGTGGAAATTATCGGATGCATAGATATAACAGCTCCATCGATTATGCCCGCGCATTTGCCGCGCGGCGCTCTCCTTCCGTACGGACACAGATTAAATACGATGTTCGGGGCTAAAGTCATTAGTGAACGTGCTGGCAACTCGGATGGATTACGGGATTATGTGATGAGAAATTAATACTTAGTCCCGTCTGTTTTATACGTGTTTTCCGTGAATAATGACGGCGGACGATTGATTTATTTTTTGTTATTTTATTATTAAACATTTCCAGATAGAGAGAGAATGATAAACGTAAATGAATGCACGCTGAAAAACTAATAAAATGAAATAATAATTTAATTATTGTATGTGGGTAGAAGTCTAAAGACGAATTCTATTTAGTCTAAAAGTCGTAGGAATTTTTAAATTCCATTCAAAGACAATATAGTTGTAATTTTCATTTTTGCCACAGGAGTAAATAAGTTAGTTCTGCATCAATTACGTACAATAGAAGTAAATTGAAAACTGAAAATAATTAATACTGTCTATGGCCTGGGAAAAATTCCTAATAAAAATTAGTACGATTGCATAACATGCGTAACATATTTCAATCACTACCATTTCGTCGTATAGACTTTCCGAGAAATCGCTTATATGATAGCATTAGTAACTTCTTCCACCTTTGACACAGTGTTCGAGCGTGTGAGGTAACGTTAGCGCCAATTGAATACGCTCGGTGTGTTTCCGGATTTTAATTGCTTCCGCTGGAACAATGCGCGGTTGCGCTCAAATAAAGTTTCGTTACATCGCGTGATGGCGTTTATACTCTTCTCTATCGGATGTGGGCTATTTATACAAAAGTGCACATTACTACATAGTATAAAACAAAGTCGTCCCGCTGTCTGCCTGTCCCTATGTATGCTTAGATCTTTAAAACTAGTAGTCGCTAATATTTAAATAAAACATGCGTGAAGAGGTGTTATTTTATGTTTGCTTTTAGTTGTACGGAGGGAGACAAAATATACTATATTGTTTCTCATTTTACTGAGCTTTGGGAATTGTTTTGTTATCACTATGTTTATTAGCAATGTTTAACAAATTATGAGCACGATTGTGATAGTCATGTTGTTTTTTTATTGTGAAATAATGTTATTATTCTAATTAAAAGCTCATTTAGCTGAGAATATTTTTGTGTGAAGTTTTATATGGATAATTATAATCGATTGCGAGACATTTGCTGATAGTTTGCTGTTAGCCCGGTGGCTTTGACAGCTTCGGCAGAGGTACGCGGGCAGACGACCGACGGACTCGGGAAAACAACGTAGATGGTGCACGACGACGACAAGAAGACGCCGTCCGCTCCGCTGTACTCCGCAACACCCTGCTAACGAAAGATGGACAATCGACTAACAGGAGGGGGGGGGGGGGGGGGGCACGACACGATCCAAGGGCCCCTCAGATGGAGGTTCGAACCTCGGCTTGGATCGCAATCGATATGGGGATCTACCCAGAGAAAGGAATAAAGTTGAAATTTAATCCCGATACGTATTGGCGTTGAACTATCGCTTATGAATGAATATATATGATTGCGAGATAATGTTCGCCAAAAGCCTTGGTAAGAAAATGCTTGTTCAGTATATGCATTTTATTTCTGAATTATTTCTTAAATGTAATAATATACTTACACGGTATTTTATTAAAATAAACTATACGCGTAGTAAAGTGTCAATATCAAAACATTATGGCCCTTTTTGTTATATTTTGAATCTATTTATTGTGAGATTAAGAAAGATCTCGTATTTTACCTGTTTTTCAGAATAAGTTGATGTCAGAATTGTAACGAATGAGGAATTTCTGAAGTGTAAAATATTATAATGATGAGTTTGGTCATGTCTATTTAAACTTTGTATATTTTATCTGTGGCTGTCTTTTATTTGGGAACGGTTAAGCCTTCACGTCTCCCACGGTTTGCATTGCCGACCTCGATGATATTTTAATAGCTCCAAGGGGTCCGCTTACGAAAATCGTACATTTCGCAAAACATTTGCGCTCATGATTTACTAGTGTATTATTGCCAATTGCAACTTTTTTAATACATTTTTTTTAATATATATCTTGGTAGCAGTATAACAGTATGACATGCGCTTGGTATATAGTTAACAAAATCGAATTAGTAAATCTTATTTAAGTTAACGGTGGTAGGGCCACGCAGCAGCCTCGGCTGTTGCACGAATGGGCAGGCCCGTCCAGGTAAGTACCACGACATCACAGAAGACCAGCGTAAAGTGGAAGTATGACAAATGGTATTTTCGCGTTTCGTCTGGTGAGTGATATGGCCGGAGCCAAATTTTTCAAAAGGTTGTCAACGCATCTGGAATCCTTGGGTGTGGCAGATGTCCATGGGCGGCCGTATTCACTTAACATCAGGTGAACCGTCTGCTCGTTTGACAACTTTTCGCACAAAAAAAAAGTTTTTATTAGTTTGCTGTACTCTTTGGGATGATGTGGCTGCATATTTTGTCTGCACTCGTCATTTGTTTATTGTGTAACTTATGACGTTTTACGTTTTTAGTTCGCTGTTCGAAATTTAACGCTAACACGTACACTTTTTGGATGCCTTCACGATACGTTAAACAAGTTTAATTCAATAAATTTACCATTTTGTTTCGTAACGATTTTGTGTCGTAAAAAAAGTAAACGTCCGTCGTCGGTTAGCCTTCCGTCACGCTTTATGAACTATGTGGTGTTATTTATTTGTAATGGCGTCGTAGGGTTTCCGCACTCGCTGAAACTGGTACGCGTCGGGTTTTATTTGGTGTATAAAATATTCGATGTGCGCTTTATTCATCGAGCTATGTTATCTATGACGTATTCAAACGTATGGTTACAGGCCCCTCTGTACAGACGAGGCCTTTGCCCAGCTGTGGGACATGTGTAGTCTGATAGTTTACTTTGATACTTTTTACAGTCGTTTTGGCTTCATAATACTTTTCACGGCTTTGTGTTGCTCACCGAAATAATAGGGTCAGGAGTCGAATTGGAGGTTTTCATCATTTAGTTACACTTAATTTTCCCTCATACATTACTATTCTGTTCACCCATCACATACTATTTCTCACTTTTAATCGATAATATCAATTTTTGTGAATTTAAAGAGCTCATTTTTGTAAAACTACGTTTGTATTCATGACCTATTCTATTCAATTTCGTTTACACAGTGAGACATAAAAGCGCTGACGGCACTCGGGGACTAGATATAAATTTCCAGTAAACGTTGTCTCTATTGTAAGTTTTTTGTTTGTAAGTTTTCTCTATTGTAAGTTTTAAATTTTTAAAGCTCAGGATAAATTGGGAAAGTATGTTACCCAAGTAAGTTGAAATACACTCGACACCTTTTCACGCAGTTACTCACAAATCATAATAGCAGTTATTAATAAAAGATTTGTAAACTATGGTTTATCTACTGCACATACTCTTACTATACGCCAATATAACGATAAATTTTAAATATTCCTCGTGATTTACTCGTGTAACATTACGTGCACATGATGTTAATGTAGCGAACTGATTAAATATAACCGTTATTAAACCGTTATTTACATTGCTCAAATGGTACCTAAATAGATTTTCGATCCGATGACTTACTTTATCAACGGCCGCCCAGTGTGATCTTATCTAATGAATCAATCACCATTCGATTCAGATGTCATCTCGTACAAAAGCGCTGGCAACCTTATCGCTTATCGAATTCAAACTTAATGACGATAGGCATTAGACAGCGGCATAAGCATTAGTGTAATAGAATATAACGCCATAAGATGACACTCCGCGTAATAGACACCAGGGTACGTGCGGTAATCAAGCGCACAGTTATTTTGCCCTCGGCTTATGATCGCTTGCGGGTGGAAACGGGTGAGTCGGCCTTCGAATCGTCGGCGAGGGAGCCATAAATGATAATGGAAGGCAAGTAATGCAAGTGCCCGAAGATCTCGTTGCGGTCACGTCTCATTTGGCACTGATGATTTATGTGGCGTTGCGATGCCAGGCGGTCTGTCCGTTTCTCTGATTCTTTATTGTTCATTAATTCATGTGATTAGGAGCATAGACGCGAATCGATCCGAGCGCGATT